TTTTTTTTGCAAACTGCAGTTGGACAAGCATCTTAACTGCTTTTATCTGAGACAACAGGGGTCGCACCTCTCTCAGTCAGAGAAATTCTGCCAAGTGTCTCTCCACTAGAAATACTGTAAGATAAGCTCTCACAAGACAATTTCACTATTCTATGGTCAGAACGTGGCAACAGTGCGGCTTCTGCTAGCTTAATTATTTATTTTAGCAACTTCCCTGATCAGAAATTCTGAAGACAAAATTGAAATGCTGTTATGAATGTGCTTATTGGGATGAGTTGGTCACACTCTAGAGAAGGGAACCTTCTTGGGATGACTGTTTATTCTCTTTGGCTCTCAATGTATTCTAGGTCAAGGCCATTGCTGATTGGGACTGGATCATAGAACATGGGCTGAGACCCAACAGCCACAGTAGTGAAAGGCATCCAAACGCAAGCGCTTGTATTGATCCCTTGGTTCTCAGACAAGAAAGATGTAAGTGATGAAAACCAGCCTTGTTCTTTGAAAAAATGATGAAATGGACTGCAGAGAGATCCCAGTGCCTGATCTGCAAGACAGCATTTTGAACACACTCTTTGTTAAGCAAGTGATCAGAACAACCCACCCAAGGTGAGAGAAATTGTCACTGCTTATGCCTAACAAAGTGGTTCCTTTTTTTTCTTCTTTGGTAGTTGATGTCCACTTAAAAGCAGGTATGTTACAAAAATGGACTTAATTATGTAAATGGTCCTTGCACAGTATGTGGTTTCATATCAAGCTGGCACCTCTGCCAAAAACTGAAGTTGCCTAAGTAATTGTGCAGAAGTCCATAAGCACCCTGGCTCCTGGAACATTAACCACTCTGAGATCCTCAGGAGAAAGGCAGTCTATAAATACGAAGCTTTACGGTTACCCTTAGTTACTTCACTTTTCAGAGCATAATGCAATCTGTCCCAAGTCCCATGTTTTATTTCTGTAGTGGATTCTGCTGTCCTATTTTATATATTGTATATCATGCATTATGTTGCTCTAGTAATTTTTTTTGAAGATATTGTTCCACTATTATTTTTACTCGTCTTGAAAAATGGAAATAGGCGGTAATGGAAAGGAAGGCCTGCTGGCAGAATCTTTATTTAATTTTCACAGTAGAAAGTTGTCTTATGTGTCTGTCTACTGATCAGGGATCCAAACTCGTAGAAGAGAGGGAAACAATCCACTTCTCAAATCATGAATTTATATCAATTTATTCCCCTTGCCTCATTATGGACGGAAAGTGTTCTTGGAAAATGGCAGGACAGTTTTGGGCTACTGAAGAAGATGCCAAAAACAAATGTTCAGAGACGAAACCTGAACAGTTCTGTAATGACAAAGCATACTAATTGAAATTAGTCACATAGTTAAGAGAATTCAGAGGACGGAGGATCACTCTTTTTTTTTTTTTTTTTTTTTTTTTTTGCCTTTCCGCTTCATGAATATAAAATGTGCTTGTAATCTTAATACTATTCCAGATAGAGCAGCCTTTAAATTCACACTTCACAAGACTCCAGGGAAAGTAAGTTACTAATGAATGGTATTTACAGTGGCAGCATCGAAGCATGCTTTCATTTACTCTTCTAAAGTAACTTGCGTAAACTACAAGTAATTAAAAGAAACGCAGAAAGTAGTTTCTCCTATTAAATCCAGTTCAGGCTAAAAATAAATAAATAAAATTACTGAAACGCTAAGGCCAGTGAATCTGCCTCTAAAGACTATTGGGCCTGTAGGGTACAGAGTCGTGCTCAATAAATATCTGTTTAATGCAGAGCAAGACCCAGGCTCCTGTCAGCATCTCTTCCTTCCTCATCATGCTGACGGTCTCAACAGTTTTTTCATTGTCCCTTTTTAGACTTTTGAGTCTCTGTTTGTGTTGTTACCCCAAGAAATGTGAGCATCTGCTCACGTATTACGGTCCTTTGGAAGGACACAAGACACTGTAGTATCTCAGAGCCAATCTGGGGGTGATACAGCCCCCACTGAGAATGTATACTGCAGAGGACTGCAATGGTATTAGATGACAAATGTCACATTTATCTCTAAAATGTGTTATTTAAAAGTTATCGAGATTCTCTTGGCCTGTCTTCTTGAACAGTCTGGGTAGGGGCAAAAACAAACAGGACCACAGGCCAAAAGTTCATACTGCTTACTGATGAACTCTCGAGGGGAACTTGAGTACTATACCCAGGTACTTGAATGAAATGATACAGGAGTAGCCTTCATTTAAGAACGGAGATGTGCAACAGGGAAAAAGTTTGCTAGAAGCTGGGCTGCCTCGGGTAGCTCCTTTTTTGGGTGGTAATCTCTCGCCTGCTCAAAACCCACATCTTCACTCCTGGTACCATTGGTAACGTAACAAGTTCTTGGTTTGTCAGTAGGAAATAAACACTCCTAAACACGCCGTATAATTATTATGTAATCTTGAGCAATCGGCAGGAAAACTGAAGAGTTTTCTTAAACACCTCTATTGTTTAAACAGACACAGTTTACTTTATAAAGTGAACCAGACCCAGATCCTCCCCACACCAGACAGAAGCGAAGATGCTCAAGTCGACTTTAAAAGAAGAAATACAAAGCCCTGCTTTCTCTTTAAACCTGTGAACAATAGAAGGTCATGTGACGCAGTGGCCTATCATCCAGCACATTAATAGCTGTGCTAGAGTAATTACACTTGTGGTATTTTTGCCTCAAGTGAAATTCTGAAATAAGAGGATGGAAATTATGATACTGCTGATAAATATTAATAAGTGAACTTTTAATTTTTTTGCCACAATATTCAAAATGCTAAGCATCCCGCTAATGCTGAAGCAGCCCGATGTGTTTGCCTCCAGGGAGTACGATGCTTTGTGCACTTAAGAAAAAAGTTTAACGGAATTAAAATTTAATATCTAATTAGAGCGAGGCTAATATATTTTGAAATGAATGGGGGAGACCTGTGCCTCTGCTGCATATTCGGGACGGCCATTAATCTTACCTGTAAAGCTGCATTGAGAGGTGTGCAGTAGGCGTGGCTGCTCTGCATGTTTTTAATAAGGGAAGGGTTACTGTATAAGAAAAAGATAAAAACTCCAAGTTAAGCACAGTTGACTCCAGAGCTCCTAGCTAAGTTTTAAGCTTGCTGGTGTCCTTCCAAATCGGCAATTTCCCCCACTAACAAAACCTAAGGAAAGTCAGGCTTTCTCCCTGTCACTGCTCTGCAGGGCTGGTTTGTGTGCACCCTCTGGGGTTAGACTTCGATACTGAAGGAAACTAGGTGTACACATTCTGGCTTAGGTAATAATAGGCTCGGGTCCTCCCTCCAGAGCCCTCTCTGCAGGTTTTTAGGAGTTACCATGACTCCAGACTCCAACAGGAAGGCGGCAAGCAGGCTAGGAGGTTGTGCTGGGGAAGGCAGTGAGCTAGCTCACAGCAGGGGCTGCTGGGCGTGAGCAGAGAGAATCTTGGCTCGTAAGCATCTTCAAGATTTGAACTCTACAGTGACGGCAGGAAGGCTTTTAGGGAACATCTACAAGGCGCGTTTATTGCTAACAGGATATGGAGAGTAGGGCATGCCAGGGGAGGGGCGTTCTAAATAAGGGGATGTCTTAGCCAAATCGGGGAGGGTCTGAGAATATTTGCTGCTGTCTCCATTCCTGGACCAAATGAAGCCAACATACTGTTTTCAGAAAATCTCTAGCCTCATAAGGATAAAAATAATAAAAAAATATATTGGGCATACTGAGGGTAAAGAGTGCCTTCCAGTAAGCAATTACCTACATTTATCAGAGGCCTTTAAAGGAAGTATACTCGATATTACCTATTTCCTTCCTATACTTGGAACATTTTAATCATTCACCTCATTACATTTACATCATTCCTGTGAGTGAACAAGTAAGAAATCATCTATCTACCCCAGTAGTGCACACACATTTTAACTCTAAGCAAAAATTCCCTTTTCACTTGGGGGGATTATGGGTTAAGCACAAGAATTTAGTTCTAGAGTCCCGTCCCCGTAAGCTGCTGAATCAAAATACAACCAATATTTTGCATTAAAGACGTCAAAAAAGCATTATTCAAGGCACTGGTGTTCCAAAGAGAAACGAGAGCAATACATGTACAAATCACACAATTTAGTTTCGTTGCAGAAAGCTGTGGCACTGCTATTGGTGAAATGCAAAACTACATGGGATGAGTCAACCATGCAAAGCCAAAGCAACAGCAGAAAAAAAAAACAAAAGCAAGTAAAGGCTCTTACTGTGCGACAAGCTCGTCAAAGTTTTCATCGGGGCAGTATTTGCGAGGACGGCCTCGTTGAATATGGCGGCCACGTTTAAACTCTTCATCATCAACTGTCCAAAAGGACCCAAACTCATCCTCTACTCTGATAAAGCACTTATGCAGTGAGAGGTTGGTGCGAATGGCACCCTGGGATAGGAGCAGCAGCAAAGGAGATGGAGTGGCAACAAAAGGAGGCGGGGTTGGGGGCAGAACAGACATCCAATACAGGGAACAGGAAAAAGAAAATAAAATGCAATAAGCATAAGCAAATGGTTTGTGAGGGTTAATATGCATTGCCACCTAAAAGCTACTAGCATGTGATGCAACAAAGACCAGCAAGCAGGGCAGGGGGACTGGTGGGTATACAAAACAGGAGGGATGAAATGCTTTTTTGCTTCCCTTAACTGAGACAACGTGAAACCAGTTCTTTGGTCTGACACCATCTAGCAGCCAAAGCCTCTACGTTATACTTGTTAGCACAATCCAAGCTGGGCTAAGAAGTTCAAACATGGTGGACGTACCCACTGATCTTTTGTGGCCTTCGTTTTTGGAATTCTACTTCATCCACTGTCCATACTGCCCCTTTAACGTTTTCTACTCGCACAAAACACTTGTGAAGACTAAGATTATGACGCACTGCATTCTGCAGCAAGTATAAAAGAGAGAACATTTACATTTTCTATAAGAAAAGACTCCAAAAACAGCAGTAAATTCAGCCTAACAGTCCACATTTGTAACACCATCCCCAAGAGCTGCAGCTACCACCCCCATGGAGGACCTTCTCATGGTTAAGGATGTCTTTTCCAAAAGCAAAAATAAACCCAAATTATAAATTAATTGCATGTTGGCATTTTCATCTAGTCTCTGGTAATAATGAACCAGGAGAAAGTTTTTAATATGCATACAAGCCCCAAATAGGTTCCAGTGTACAAATCTGAAAATGTTACTTTTAAACAAAACATGCAAAGCATCAAACTGCCCCTTTTAAGCCCACCTACCTCCCCTAAAAAGGGGGTATTTTGTTCAAACCGTGAAAGAGGAACACTCGGTTAATATTGCTACATACAGTTTTGTTCTTGATAGTTTCTGGCTTTTAAAACTTCCATAGATCTTACAAAAAATTCTAAGGTAGATTTTACCACCGAGAGTATCACCTTGTGTAGCTGAAGGACCCAGAGGTAAACTGACCCCACAAGAGATCAGCTATGTCTAAGAGTTGGCTCTACGTATGGGCAAGTATTTTAATTGAGTAAATGTCAAAGGAACACATGAGTGGAACTCTCAATGGCAAAATGACTCTATTCCTACAGTTGATGGTTTCTATAGACGCATCTTGTATGGTTATTAGTCCTTTCTGGCCATTCCTAAGCTGAGACCCTTAACATCAATAATTTATGAAAAAGGAGGATCTCAACTCAAGGGTGAAGAGCTTTTAAGATCTCATCTTTCCTTTGGGTTTGGAAGAATCCCTAACACCCTTACTAGGTATAGTAACAAGCAAGGGATCATTTCTTTAGTCCTGCCTGGTTAAACTTAGGGATCTGGACTCAGTGCTGGACATGAAGATATTCTAAAGAGATCCACGTCATTTAAAATTGTTATCTTATTCAGAATGAGTAGATCACTCAATTGGGGCTTGAGAAGTTGGCATAAACATCACAACTCACATACCATGTGAAGTCCTCACTCAATTCCAGCACAAGCATTTTGCACCCCTCCCCATTCTGCCACCTGGAGTATTTTCTTCCTGAATTACCCTTAATGGTGGTGAATCTTGCTACTCCGAGAGGTGCTTCAGTGTTGGGACAATTAAAATTGGTGACTGTGAGGATTAACGCTACCTAATAATTTTTCTTTTCTGATATGGAATATTTAGAAGATAATGAGACAAGTTTTAACGCATGGTGTGATGAATTGCTTGAAAGGAGAATTCACACAATCAATTCCCAAAGAGTTTCTAAGTAATATCAGTATAACAAGAGGTAGGTTCAAGATACCCAGGTGACTATCAAAAGGACACTCATGATTCAAAAAAAAAAAATTGGATGAGTTTGCTGAAAAATAAAAATCTCTAAACTGAAAACATTTGGCATGTCATATACTTGATAGGACAATTTTCTTTGCATATAAAATGCAGTCTAGTCTTTAAGCAATTTTTTTTTTTTAAAGAGACTGGGCCTTGCTCTACTGCCCAAGTGGAATGCAGTGGTTCAATTATGACTCACTGAAGCCTTGTATTCCTGGACTTAAGAGATCCTCCTGCCTTAGCCTCCTGAGTAGCTGGGACTAGAGACATGTGTCATCACCCCCAGCTAATTTTTAAAATTTTTTGTAGAGATGGCATCTTGCTATATTGCCCAGGCTGGTCTTGAACTCCTGGGCTCAGCTGATCCTCCAGCCTCCCAAAGTGCTGGGATTACAGGCAGGAGCCACTGTGCCCAGCTGCATTTTAAAAAATACATTACCCAAAGGCACACAACAGGAGGTCTACTGTTATTTACTGGAACAAAACTGAGGTGGTACAAATAAACAGACAAAGGCAATTTCCTTTACAAATCTGGGCATTATACGTCTAGGAGACATAACTTGGAAAGAAGTCAACATTGCTTCTAATCCTAATCACTGTCTGATGTTTTAAAATAAGTATCAAAATGTATAAAACTGAAAGGGCTTAAAGCTACTTCTGATAAAATAATTTCTGTAGATCAGGTTGAGCAATATAACCGTGTGAGTCAAGACACAAAGCCAAAGCTTCAGTTCTGTTTCCCAAAACTGCACATCTAAGCAGAAAGCAACTAGAAGTTAAGAGTTTTCAAAAAAAGATGTGTAAGCTCTTTTCAGTCGTAACTTTAACTGAGCATTTCATCTTTTGTCTAAGATCATGGTGAAAATAAGGACACATAGAGAAAATTATACGTATTTATGAGTCATTAAGTACTTCATCTAAGGTTGTTTATATTAATGACACTTTTTCCTGCAGTTTGCAAAATGAAAAAGTTCAATCTGAAGATCTAAGCTTAAATATTATATTCACAACTGGTAATTATTTTTAAATTTCATCATTTCCATTTATAAAAGGCAATCTGAAGAAAATGTCTGCCTCTTACTTCAACTTCCTAAATTTTTAAAAGCATTCATGGCTAAAGATCCTTTTATATTTTATCTCCTAAGGCAGGCTGAGGCAAAGAGGGGAAGATTTTGAACATAGGTTCCCTTCAGTGCCCAACTGTCTTAATGGAAATGAAAGGATAATTTGGGCCATAATAGATATTCACAGCTCTGTAAAGTTGATGAATTAATTCTATGGTTATATTCATTTTCTTTTAAAATGCTAATTTATCAGGAACTTAACAGAGGAAATAAATTTTTCTGTTTTTTGCTTTGGTTTTTCTCCAGTATAAAATTAAGGAATTAGCAAGGAAGGCATTTATTTCAAGTGAAGGAAGTTTTCCTTGCATCCTATAACACATCCCTATCATATTTAGATCAATGTCACAGAAAAATGTCCTCAAATGTTTGTATTACACGTCTCTAAATGTTTTGGATTTCAGGGATTAAAAGAATTCCAGGTAGTTAAAAAAATAAAATAAAAAAAAAAGCAAAAATACAAATGACAGAGTGTACCTGTCGCCTTCTATAAGCAAGAATATCTGAAAATGGGAAAGCCCAAGAATGCCTGAGGGCTCAATCTAATAGAAGGGAATAAATACCAGTGAAATCTTTGAACCAGCTGCTGAACTGGGAATGAGGTAAGCCATATAACCCCAAGCACTGCTGGGGTTATCCAATAAAGAACTATTGACATGTTTTTATAGCAAATAGTGTTATAATGAACTTCTACAATCTACTTTTCTTCCTTAGTATATCTATGAGGGACAATCTTTGTTTTTGCTGTTTTTTGAAAAAGGGTCTTGTTGCTCTGTTGCCCAGGCTGGAGTGTAGTGGCATGAACAGGGCTCACTGCAGCCTCAACCTCCTTGCCTCAAGCAATCCTCCCATCTCTGCCTCTGGAGTATCTGTGACCACAGGTGCATGCCACCATATCTGGCTAATGTATTTTTTTAAGAGAGACAGGGTCTCACTATGTTGCCCAGGCTGGTCTCGAACTCTGGGGCTCAAGTGATCCTCTTGCCTCAACCTCCCAAAGTGCTGGGATTATAGGCATGAGCCACTGTGCCTGGCCAACAATCTCTTGACTTAAAAAAACAAACCCTTGGTAATACATTGTGGTCTCCATTAATAGCTAGTACTTAGATTGCACAGCTTTCTCTACTAATTGGGTGAATGAGCTTTTCATCCAACCATTGAAGGCTGTTGTCAAGTTTGGTCATTTCTCCAGGTTCTATCTCTGGAGATACATCTCTGCAAATATTGGCTGTGGCTGAAGATCTAACCTCATGAGGTTTGTGGAAGTAATATGGCAACCTCAACTTTTGGGCAACGTGTCATCTGCCTTTCTCTACATATTCCAACCAGAGAGAGATCATTTTACTGGCTGGCCCCTCCACACCGCTCATGCCCGTGTAATGGGAGTCTTCCATCCAGGCATTTCAGCCACGATGGCACTGCTTTCCCAATAAAATACACCTACAGATGGGACACTTTAAGCGTATCAAAACAATACAAGTGTAGCTTCCTTACAGCACAATTGCATTTTATCAACAATAAACTGTTCTATGAATGTCAAGACCCAAGACTAAACAGGCCTGAGAAAGTTTACCTTCCACGTGGCCGCGTTGCGTCGGAAGTAAGCAAACATTCGTGTGAACCAGTTATAGATTTCATTTAGTGTTAGCTGCTTTTCTGGAGATTCGAGAATGGCCTGTGAAGCACAATGTAACAGAGATAATTTATGACCAAATCAGCAGAGTCGTCCTTATACAGTTTCTCCAAAATATACAATCACTGGGCTTCAGAGCTAAATCCTGAGAAAGGTTTCACAAAATGATCTAAGATTAATGGTTGTATTTAACAGTTCAATAGCAAAATTCAAAATGGAGTTATCTAATTGTTTTGAGTTTTTATTTCTGTTTCCGTACAGAAATATTAATTTATTAGTCATTCATAAAGCAGAATCAAAGAGAAATGCAAAACATTTCACTAGCTGATTAAAGCTCAGTAATTATTTAGAGCTCAGATTAATTCTAGGGATCAGAGATTACTGTAGCTTGTGATAATTGACTTGCCATCTTTAAACAGGCTCATTTTCACTGTTGTGTGAAATGAATTTCCTAATAATCACATCGTATTGTAATACTTAATCAAAAGCAATTATGTTATATATTGCAGTTTTAAAAAACCTTATAGAAAAGGTTTCAGCATGCTTGCATACTAAACGGTTTGAAATCTACTTCATCAATATATATCCATGTACACATACACCTTTTGATACAATTTCATATACTGTGTTATTTACTTACCTGCCTAATTAAAGATGCATATGTAAATGGTGGTCTAACTTCTGCGTTCTTATAAAATTCTTGGTTCTGCGCAATATCTGCTGAATAAGAATCATTGTCCTATTAATTATCACTTTTTAAAAACGGGCTAGTCTACAAGAATTGCAGATTACAACTCTACGTGAGGCAAAACATGGAGTATCTACCTGAAGAAATGGGCACATTATATTTGTCTGAGTACCGCCTGCGGATGGGTCCCACCGTGTGCATGCTGGTGGTGGTGATGACAGAGGGGCCTTGGGTGACGGGAGTCAGCGGGGCCGTTGGGGTCGTTGGAGTATGAGGTAAGCTCTGTGGAGAAGCCTCTGATGCGGACTTGGAGAGAGTGACACTTGATACCAGATTCAGCTGTGAGGGAAAAAACACGTCTTAGAAGACCTTCAGGAAAACAGAGCAACCCGGTTACCACGCATCCAGCAGGAATAATACAGAGAATGCATGGACAGCGCTCTTTCTCTAAGCAGATACATCTACCATGAACCGAAACACAAGTTGAGTCCTGCGTAAACCCAATTCACTTAGGATGTAGCGTAAGATATCTCTGGCAGCAGTCTCTTTTCAAAAGGCTGCTATGTGGGTGTTTACAGGCTCAAAAAGGGGCTACCTACCTGAGTGAGACTGAGAAAGCCTGAGTCAAGACATTTCTTTGATTGTGATGTCTCAACTACTTTAATCGCCCATCGGGCCTTGTCAACCTCAAAGAGCTCCAGAGAGGAGTCCTTAGCAATACCAGTAAAGCTGAATATTTAAGGCAATACAAGTTGGAATACGCTAGTGTACATCTGAAGCGTCCAACAGAACTTTCTGCAATAAGCTAGTACAACCCAAGAGCTCTTTTTACTTTTTATTAAAATTAAACTTTAATAAATTTAAAAGGAAAGAGCCCCATGTGGCTAGTAGCTACCATAGTGGACAGCCCAGGAGAGACTACTGAAGGCCATCATGCGGCTTCCTGGATGACAAGAACTACTGCAAATTGTGTGGCCTATCACTCATATTAAACACAACGGCCCTGATCCCACAAGCCGTCATTTGTTTCCATCAGTTAGCAGAAAATAATTCTTAAAAGCTTTATGGGTAATCTTTATTAAATCTATCAAAGGCTTGGTATCTGTTAATTTTTTTTAATGTGACATTCTTTTACAGAATACGGAGATCTGGAACTGTGAGGTTTTTGCTGAAATTTTTTCCTTCAAGTTTTGAATCTTCTATAAAATGGGAAATAATCTGCTTCAAGTTAGTAAATAAATATTACTTATTTGAAGTAGGATAGAAGAAAATAGGTCAGGAATGGTGGCTCACACTCGTAATCCCAGCACCTTGGGAGGCTGAGGCAGGATGATCTCTTGAGCCCAGGAGTTTGAAACCAGCCTGGACAACATGGTGAAACCCTGTCTCTATTTTAAAAAACCCAAAACACACACACACAAATTAGCCACATGTCATGGCTCACGCCTGTAGGCCCAGCTACCTGGGAGGCTGAGGTGGGAGAACAGCTTGAGCCGAGGCAGAGGTTGCAGTGAGCTGACTTCACACCACTGTACTCTAGCCTGAGAGATAGAGTGAGACTCCACCTCAAAAAAGAAAGGAAAGAAGGAAAGAAAGAAAATAATAGGTATAAATAAATATTTATTTATATAAAAAATAGATATATATCTAAATATAGCTATTTATAAAAATAATAGATGTAAACAGATAACTGTTTCAATTTATCTCTCTTATCTTCACCCTGAAGTACTGTTCTAACAAATACTAAAAGGGATAACCCTTTTCCAAAACGTGTTAGAACAGAAATATTATTTTATGTCTGGCAATGCTGAAGAATTTGGTTGTTTTCAGCGTATTACTGTTTATATGCTATCTCAGATACAAAGACCCACCCTAAAATCCAAGAAACTTCTTTGGCAAAGCAGGCTTACTTGGTAACATTTTCTAAAACCAGATTTCAAATCACTCACCACAGTAAGTCTATTTCATGAAGTCTAATTCACCATTGCTACAGTCAGTCTTAAGTACAAGGCAGTATTTGTGGAAGGTTAAATGAGATTCCTCTGAGATCATAATCAAAGAACTTATTAAAAGAGAGTTCCAATGTTGGGAAGACTCGACCTTTACTCATACTCCAGTTAAAAAAAAAAAAAAAGGCCATGAGAATCCTAATATGTTTGGGTGAGTTTCATAAAAAAAGCAATGAATCTGGAGAAAAGAAAGATCAAATATCATGAAGAAATGCTAATGGAAAAATGTAAACATGGCGCTGGAAATGGAATCTGTGAACGCTGAGTTGTGCTTTCCTTTTTACTTTCAGCGTAGGATGTTAACTCGGTGAGCAATCGACAATCCCCACGAAGAGCAAGTTATGGAGATGGCACTGCCCTTACAAATGCCCCAGCAAGCTGAGCAGATGCTGGGAGCTGCTTTTTCTCTATAGTGCTAGAAATCTGACTTTCTGACACGCATTTGCAAACTAAGTGTGAACAGTTCAGAGTAGCAGCCGCAGGATGGGGCAGAGCTGAGAAGCCAAGGGGGGAAGAGTTGGGGCCGACCTCTTCTTCACCTCGGGCCTAAATCATTGACCAAGTCCAGGAACAGTACGTATAAGCATCAGCCCAAGCAAAGGGTCAAGGAAATTAGTGCATGAAAGGTTAATGCTCATAAATATACAGCTTTTATAATTCAGACGTTGCTAAGCCTAAGAATCTCAGAGCACTTTGGAAAGTCACGGGTAACATTTGAAAAAATCATGTTTGAATGCACCTGCCACTGTGTGGTCTCCTTTAATTCTCCTACCACCACTAATATCTGAGATGTTATTACTCATATTTTACAGATAAGCAAACTGAGGCTTGGCGAGATTAAATAATTGGCCCATATTCCCAACCCAGACCCAAAGTCAAACCACACACTTGTTTGATTCTAGATCCTTTGTATAATCATTTTATGCACAGTTAATGGGAAAAATGAACACTAACCAGCTTCATTTTTCTGTATACTCATTTTTGGAGAAGATTCTGTGCAGAGCATTTTATCGCTGCTTATGTATGACATTCAACACATGTAACTGAGCAAATATAGGGCCGTTAGTCCTATAATGACAAAGAGGAATAAAACACCTAACTGCTGCCCTTAAAGTGCTTACCATCAAACACATATGTCAAAGGCAAAGATAGACAGTAACCACAATGCAATTCTGAGGACCAACTCTGCTTCTTGGCTTCTCTTTTCAGTTTAAGAACATTTCCCTAAACACTGTGGCTTTCTTTTAAGATGCAATACAAATTATAATGTCCTTCATGCACGTTCCCTTACAGTTTTGGGAGGAAGATCACCAAGTTTACTGAGTTCCAGTTTCAATGTCAGAAATCAAAACTCATTCAGCAAGTGCAAGCTCATCTTTTTGGGGCTCACAGCAAAGAAGAATAGACAAATCCCACAATAAAATGTCATCAAAGCAGACAGGATGTGACTCTTGTAGCTTTTACCAAGATCTCACCACTAGGACTCTACCAAAAAAAGGCAACAGCGAAAAATAAAATCCCTCCAAGTTAGCATAATCCACAAAGGAAGAGAGACAGGTAGACTTTTCTGGAGGCTTTTGAACATAGCAAGTGGAAATAAACACTGAGCCCGAAGAGAGCAGAGAGGGGGCTTACCAGGCTTGACAAATGACACCGTGATTCACACCCACTGCTGGGCTGTCTCTAATAAGCCACAGAGGAAGCAGCCAATCTCAGCTAATTACCAGATAAAAATGTATTGTAAGGACTCTAATTAGGAGACTCGGATGGAGGTGATCTAATGATTAAATGCTGCATTTGAGTGACCCCACCATCAATGTGCAGTGGTGCAAGATGTCACTGGAATATTTTGTAGAAACAGTAATTTTATTTCGAGGAGGGGAGGCAGTAATATTTGTAATGATGGCTATGAGGTAAACTAATTAAAAGACAGTTCCTAGAGGAAGAGGGTGGCTGAGAGCAGCTGTGGCCATTCCAAAACCAAGTGCCAAGTCTCAATAGAGGAGCTGCAGTCAAGTGGAAAATTTCTGCCTGACCTCTGCCCTTGCTATTAATTTGCAGGAAAACTAATGACACATATACATATTCCCACAAAATTGTTCTAATTGCTAATTTGCCAAAGGAGCCCAGATTCCAAATTAAACATGACTGTAGCCTACGAGGGAAGGAAGAAGAAAAAGCTGTACACTCCAAACACGGGATGCTTTGCCACACAAAATCGTTTGAAGGCCGAACCAACAAGTTAATGAAATGTCAACCTTGTCAACTGACAGAGAAGTGTCTTAACTTTTAAACTTGTTTGATGATCACGTGCTTGTCCTGGAGAGAAACCACTTTCGAAAGGGAAGGTTGAGAAAGAGAAAGAATGGAGAAGAAAGATTCAAAACAGGCTCTGTGTTCAAACCAAACCTGCTCTTTTAATTAAGGCCTCTTTGAAAAAGAGTGCCGCCCCCCCCAAAAAAAAATTAATTACAGACTTAGATGAGCAAATGGGGAACGGTGTGGGTTTTTGCTGTAATCTTGAAATATTCATCTTAATTGTAAACCATTAAATCTTAATATAATCATCAATTAGAAATGAAAGCATCTATGCTTTGTGTTTCTGATTGTAGTTAAGGTTTTAAAAGATAATTTTTTCTAGGGCATGGAGCAGGAAGGGAATGCTGGGAGGGTTTCTCTTCCTGATGGAAAGCCTATTTTTCTTATTGTGTTCATTTTCTATTTAAAAAGAAGTTGCTATGTTTAGAAAAGTCAGAACTCTGATATTTTCTACATGGCAAGTTTCCATCATGTGATGATTTCAGCAAAGATAATCTCTTTGAAACTCTGGCCAAAAGTTAAATTCTTATGTCACTTAAAATTGCTGTAGGGTTTTATATTTTAAATTTATTTGTACTCTCAGGCATCAGTTTTTCTTTTAGCCATTGAAACTATTCAAACTTTGTCAGCTACCCACTATTCTGCTTAGTCCTTTAAAAAAAAAAAAAGTTTTTAACCGTCAGATCTCCCCTCCTGTTTAAAGATGATGAGTCACTCGCATTAAAAAAATAAATAAACTGCTGATGTAAACCCCTGACAGAAACAGACTTGTAAGTATTCCCATAAGAACTCATTTTTATTTTTGTTTGTGCTCTTGCCTCACATGAAAACAGATTCTGAGAACAAAAGACAGACCTGAAACCCAAACACCAAGGGACACAACTGCATAGTAGGGACTTTCAGGCTCACAGAACTTGTTTTTCTGTTCTTGGTTTTACTGGCCTGAGCCAGCTGAAGTCCTGCTTTAACTGCATGGCGGTGGCGTTTCTAGGCATGAATCACTGAGTTCAGACACGGCCTTGCTGAGACTGGAGGGATGGTACAAGGCCGCACAGAGGGCAGGACAGTGGGTGGCAGCTGGAGGCCTTTGTTACAACAAGCCTTTGCTCTCCTCTACCATCTGAGCCTGGCCATGTTTTAGAGACGGTGCTCGTGGAGGGCCGTGACTTAGAAGGTAGTGGCACTGGCAGGGATACTAAATGGAAGAAAAAAAAAAACAAAACTCTAGTTCGGGTGGTGAGGGGGCACTTAATGAGAAAACAGTATATAAATCAGCTTTTGTGTCTTGTGCCTGAGAATCCCTTTTTATGACTGTTTAATATTATTTCTCCAACTCTAAAGCAAGGACCCAGGCAGCGCAAATGATCCTTGAAGAGTTAAAAGACCCTTTTCTTCGGTGGGCACTTTGTTTTTATAGGAGTTAAAAACGCTTTCAAAATAGTCCTAATTGCTATGGTTGGAGGAAAAGAAAATGTGTAAAAATGAAAATCTAATACTGTGTTTCATTCCAAATATCCAAGTTCCTGTAAGTGTTTTATAAGATTTTCGGCAAGAAGGATATACCACCTACACTATAATTACGTGCCCACCAAATCTAAAAGAATGTGGTTTCTCCAGGAGCAGGAGTTGTTCTCTGATGTGTAGGAATACCCTGAAGCAAAGCGTACCTCTCATGTACTCGGTATTATAAAATACGATTTACAGTGTTTTCCTGACATAATGACAGATAGTGAAGTCTTTTTAAGAAATCCGTGGCAATTTAATAGAGTCATCATACCACAGCCATGTTTTTGTTTTGTCCTCTTAGTTTTCCACTCCCTCCCCCAAATGAAATATCTTGGCAAATTCTCCATAGAGTAAGCATGGAGAAATTAACCTCCAAGAAATACACTTGGGTATTTGAGAATGTTTACTGAGTTTGGAACAAAAGAATATCAATTATTTTCATTAGGGCAGTTTACTATTGTCTTGTTTTTTGCTTCTCTTTCCATGGGAAAGAATAGAATCTTTTAAAACTTAAAATAACAAGAAATGTGGCTATTCTAAATACAAGAACTGCTTTTCTGCTCTATGTACCTGATAGCTAGAACTTAGGGATGCTCTTGAAACTTACACATACTATATACCTCCATGCAGGTTCCAGACTTAATGAAACTAAAAGTTTGAAAAGCTTGTCTTAACTGATGTTGGCGATTCCTTTCCTTCCTCTACACTGTTCCTCGCCACTCAGAGACCGATTCGTGCAACCCACTCTTAACCTAAGGTCCACGAAGCTGACCTCGTAGCATTTCTTCCTATTCATCTTTTAGGTTTCAGCCTAGATGTCATTTCTCCCAGAAGTCTCCCCTGACTTTACCATTCTGGGTCACCTGTTTTACTTACAGGTAGTGCAATTCATGAAAAGTGACAATGTGTGAGTGTGTACGTAGTTAATTCCCAGTTTGTTTTCCCAGACTCCGAACACCTCCATGGTAGGGATGGGCCTCGCTCATGTGACGGACTACTTTTTGCTCTGTATGTCACATGCTTAAGAATTACTGGTTGTTGGAATAGTCTGATTGTAAATGCAGGAATTCCCTTTCCATAACCAACCTGCACTTTGAGTCTTTGGTTCTGTTCTGAAAGGAAGATTTTACTTAGGTTTACAGAAATGTGACAGCAAGCAGAAAGAAAGGCTGTCGAAGGAGTCTGAGGGATGGGAAGCCTGTGAGCTCCTGTCCCAGTTCACCCATAAGCTTTCTGCCTCAGATCCATGTCTAAAAACTTGGGCACCTTCCCGAGATGAGTGTATCCTGTAACTATCCAGATCTGATGAATCCCACAATAGGATCCAGAAAATGTGTCTATGAGCGGATGTAGAAACAATCTAAGAACGTTTTAGCAGTTTCTTTGATGCAATGAGCTGAGGACTGGTTGAATGACTGGATACAGCAAATGACACTTAACACCCAAATGGCATTTGGTGAAAAGCAACATTTACAGCAAAGCATTCTATCACTTAGTGACTAAGAATTTTAAAATAAACATGAGGTTTCTTTTACACAGAAATGGAAAAAAGAAAAAGCTTCATGAACTTACTGGCAAGGTTGTAACATGAAAGTCCCTATCTAGGGTTAGATTTGATCCTTGTTTCAAATCAAAGATTCTAGAAGGATACTCATTCAAACAAACGCCATGCATTCTATTATTTAAGGCAGAATAAATTAATTACAGACTGCAGGGACTTTGCATGTGAGAATCAGTCACCAGATAGCTCTGGGCCCTTAAAGTTGAAAGCATCAAGAGTTTGCTGTATGTGTATGCCCTTCTTTTTTTTTCTTTTCTCTTTTTGGCAAAGAAGTGAAAATTTATGCAAAACATTACACATCTACTTTTTATAATTAATTTCCCAATGCCTCACCTATACATATTTTAATAATTCCTGATTTATAAGATGGTATCTGTAATAAAATTTTCTATTTTCCAATAAATGAAAAGAAGTCAGGTTCACTCTGACAACAGAGTGTCACACAATATCTGCTTGTCAGGCACCAATTTTTACTTCTTACATGTAAGTTAAAGGATAAGGAATTTATAATGCTGCCTGTGAAGGGAACCACTTTTCATACACAAATGTGATCTTTTTTTCCTCAAAGGGTAATACAACAGTACATTTACATAAACTAATCCAAACAATCTATGTATTTGACAATGGCAAACCTCACACAGACGGCCTATTGTTGGTTTACATCTTGGAGTTCTTTATGTTGGCTTGTAGCGCTGCTCTAGCTGTCAAAGGTTTGACTTGGACTCTAAATAAATGGTTATAGAAGTGCTGTGCAGCGATATTGGACTTCTTTGCAAAAGAAAACCTGCTGTGTATGAATTCAAAAGCTATTAATTTTTCAGTCAAAAATATTCGTGCCTATTTCTTTTAATAAAGAAATACTGTGCTGAGCTACTAAGAGATAATGTTGACTAGTGGCAGAGAATTTTCAATAGAGCAGTTAAAAATAAATTTAGTAGGAGGTCCCCTTCAAAGTTATAATTTTCTAGAATGCAAAACATTTTTTTTTTAATACTCATCAAGACAAACCTTCCATCCCTGCTCATTTCCCCCATGGCTGGCTTCTCCCTGTTTACCGCCTGCTTACTCTGGTCCCTGTGGAGAATCCCAATGGTCCTTTTGTGGCCCACGGGGCTTGCATACATGGTGCTCTCTACCAACACTCAGCCTGGCCACTCGCCGAGTGCCCTACGGGGTTTGCAGTTCCTTCTCTTTAATTGTATCCTTCCTCCTCCCAAGGAGGCCAAGATCTACGCCTATAGAGCTGGGTCCAACCATTATCCTATCACTGTTTTTGATCCATGGAAGAAGACGGAGATAATCTCATTCTCTTCCTTGTTGCTGGGTGAAAACTCTCAAACCATGCAATCTGGGAAAACTGTTTCACTAAAGCTATCTAAACACTTTCAGAAAGTTCCAGGGCAGTCAGTGTTTCGTGCAATCGGCTATGCCTCTTCGAGATGACTTCAGCCAAGTCATCTCAGAAGCTCACCAATTTGCTTAGCTGGGTTCATGATCTTCCCAATATCCTCCTTTAGCAGGAAGGGTTGTTAGAAACAGCACAGTTGACTAATGATGCCACAACGCTGAATGACCTGGTTCCTTTTTTCCTTTCTTTTTGGTAGCCTACACAACCAGTCCTACAGCCATTTACTGTAAAATACATGGCAACTAAGGACTCCTTCCTAGTAAAAATGGATGCGCGAAGTGTTTAATGATTTTATGTCCTATATCTCAGTAATGTGTTCTGTTTCAGACATTAATTTTGCCTGCCAACTGCATCTTGGCAGGCTACCATATTTGCTGGGTTAATAGTCTGACTCCGTTTTATTTCTATCACCATAAATCATACATATATGGGTGTATGTTTGCTTTATTTATAGAAAAAAATCAGTCAAAACAGATAAACCAATACTTTGCCATTATGCTGCATCATTGCATATTGATTAAAATTGCTGGTACTAACTATAGATTGTCAACGCTCAATTAATTTTCACACAGTGACTCCAAGCAAAATCAAATAAAGGCAGTGTACCTTTAAATTTTACAAATCTTAAAATCAAGGAGCAAAGCACTGTCTCCATTTTGAATAATCAGTTAAAGCTACTAGAAGAATTTTAGAAATGTAAGAGAAATACAACCGTTAAAGAGATACACTTATTAAAAAGGAAGGAGGTCCAAGACAAAATTTTAGGTTCAGACACCATCCTTCTGCTTCGACATTAACAGCCTGTGCTGGGATGACACCCTTCAGGGTCCAGTAAAAGGAACAAGGCAAGAAAGAGGAGATTCTTATAAATTAAATGTAATTTCAGTATGTTATGTTTGGGCTCCTAACTGTGAAGGAATAATTTTCATTTCAAACTCCTTAGTAACCATCACAGCCTCTCCATAATTTAGCCTCTGACTATTCCAACAGTAAGTTTCTTATGTCTTTCCTCTGTTACAGTTAGACTGGACTAGTCCCTGCTCTTTTTCTCACACATCACTGTCTCTCAGCTTACCGGAGCCTCTTTCCTTTGCTGTCATGGTTTGGCTGTCTTCTCTGCGTTCCTACCATTCAGAAAGACTTCCTTTTTCCAGGGAGCTCTCGTAATGTATTTCAGTACCTTGCTTTAGCAGCAGTCATTCTGCCCTTGAAGAAGAGCTGAATGCTTAAGTCTTATGAGCAAGGACCATGTCTGAATCATCCTGTATTCCCAAGTGCCTAGCATACTACCTTCGTCATAAAGGGTAACCAGAAACAGTCGCATGAATCTAAGGCCTTCAAAACTCAAAGTTCTACCAAAGCAGGCTGGTCCTCCTTCCTCTGTTTGGGGTGGGGAAGCAGAAAAGGAATACTGAAAGTTTTGTTTTTTCACCTTAGTGGGGGTCATTACTTACGGGCTGAGGGGCGGCTTTGGGTTCTGTAGACTTCACATGCAGGTGGGTCATCATGGCTTGCAGGCGCTCTTTGTCTTTTGCAAGCTAGCAGGAAGAAAATGCTTTGTTATTTCTCTGAATAAAGATGCATGACTCTTTTAATACCATAAATGATACATATTACAAATTACACTATGGCACCACAGCACATGATAAAATCATTTTCATTGCTTAATTGTTTTCGAAATCTACATGACCACTGCCAAACTCTAAGTAACTGGAAGTGTTGGTGTGAGATTTCTCAACACAAGATACACTAGACATTCACTGGGGAGTTCTAGACCTGCTGGCACCACGCAGTCCCATGGAACACAGACAGCTAAAAGACAAATGTGAATCATACCTATTAACCAACCTGATTCATGAGAAAATCCAAAAGAAAATGAGCTCAAGGTAGCTAAAACCCATAAATTCATCTGTTGTGGTTATGGAAAAACTCCTAGACAGATGGATACATTTATGCAAAATTAGCTTCATCTTTCTGAACAGGTAGGCATAGATTAAGACAGTGCTGGCCAAGTGATATTAGTAGGCCAGGAGCAGGCTACAAGGGATGACAGGTTCCCATTTTCAAACGAGCGGAGAATAAGGTGGTTCATTCATTTACTCAAGATTTGAGTACCTGCTATGTGCTAGTCTCATCTTAATAATTTAAGTCTCCTGATTCTATAAAAAACGATCTTCTGAAGTCACACAAGGTTCTAATTGGATATACATAGTAGGCACTCAAATACTACTTATTGGAAGCTGCATCCTTTATGCTTCGCTTGGACTGCTTTAACTCGATATTTTCGATAGTTCAAGACAGTTGGGCATAGGGGACACATAATGATTACTTCTGTAAAAGAAGTGGGAAATATATCCCCTAAAGATAAAGGGATAGTTAAGAGAACAGCTGTGGCATTTAGGAATGGAGAAGGGGAGAGGGAGAGAATACAGCTGAATTTCAATACTTTTGTAGATCATTTGTCCAAAGTAATGCCTTAGAGTTAAGGAGGGACTCATTAGTTCTGCCACATAATGAACCTTAAATCCTTTAAAGCGCAACGATTTTTTTCAAGTCTAACACTATTCCCAAATTTAAAAATATACACCTTATGTATTTAAATACAGTTATTTTCTAAGGAAGAAGGGGGAATGCGGCTGGGGGTTGCAGAAAGGCAGAGGAAAGGGAAAGAGTACAAAAGGGAGAAGGGAAAGAGCTTCCAGCTGATCCCTACTGGATGACTCAGTCTCAAGCCATATCACATTTGATTTTTTCTTTTTATTCCCTTGTGGTTCAGGGAGGAATAAATTAAGAAAGAAAGAAAAAAAGCCTTACAGTGTTAGCATTTATCTTTCAACAAACAGGAAATGAAAATGATACCATATTAGGAGCCACTTGATGTTATTCCTCCTCTGTTCTTTAGTAAGTTATTGAACAGCCAAACTAAAAGATTCTCTGAACACATAATGCTAAAGGAATTTAGTTTTCCAAAGTGGCTTAGAACAATTGAAATGTTACGAATGGTATTTTTCTGCTATTCCTTTTTCTTTTTTTTTTTAATGTAAGTATCCTAAGTTTTTTTATGTTAAATACTCAGACTCTTTAAGAGATGTTTTAAAGTTATCATGGGGCAGAAGGAATTAAGAAATCAATTGTATTTTTCTTAAAAACAAGAAGTAATCTGCCATGCTGAACAATACAAATTAAAGGGTGAGAGGTGGTATTTACTGAAGTCTGTTGAATATTGATTGTGACTTACTTTGGGGGTAAACATTGTTGATGTAGCAGTTATAAAGACTAAGTGTGGTGCAAGGAAAATCTGAATCCCCGGCATTCAAAGGGATCATCTTCTCCATATTTCTAGCCAGAGGTCTACCAAGCTAATCTTTTACTGGTCAGCAAAGATAGTAATACTACATTGCAAACACATACCTAAAATTTGTAAACACAGCCACTTCCATAAACCCTGGAGGTAACTGCCATTGGAAACGTTTTCATATTTTTCCATGAGCACATTGTTTAGAACTCATCATCCATTCTGAGAGTTACCCAGGAACCTCAATTCCACCACCCTAGTTCTAACTTTCTGGTTTTGTTTGGTTAGTGCAAACTAACATATAGTATCATATTCTTGAAAGAGTTTTAGACTTTAAATCTATTATAGCTCTAACAAACTGTTTTAACAATTACAGAAAGAAACCCGCCAAATTCAGTTTTTCTTTTTTTTCGGCAAAACGGCTAAACATTCACACCTATTGAAACCATACCCTGTGTACAGTGGCCGTCTTGCATTCATAATACTAACTGAGCCTTCCAAAAGCTTTCACATTCTTTATTACTTCTTATGCCATCATCCCATGCGCTCACCATCCCCATCAATTTTCACGGCATCCTTTCATTATTAAAAGATGAGGATACAAACATTTAGTATTAGCAAGTATATTCCAGCATTTCCTCTTAAACTATAAATTCTATGAAAAGCAAAGAAAAGGAGATTGAGGCATTCAAGCTAAAGGCCCACTAAAATTTGGTTGACAAATTAAAATTTGTGTTGAAATATCAAAAAAGATTTACTCTCTAAAAAACTTTCCCAGTGGGTATGGAATGAGTATCTACCATAAAAGGAATGACAACAGCCTAAACGTAAGAGAAGTTGCTTGTGCAGGGGTCATTTTAATCTATGAGTTTATTCTGTACAACGTTTTGTACAACGGTGGTAGAGAGTAAATGGTTAGGGTGTGGACACAACAATCACACTGTGCTGTGTTCAAATCCTTGCTCAGTGACCCTCAGCACATTATGTAACCTTTTTAAGTACTTAGTTTCTCCTTCTAAATATGGAATGATCATCTGTGAACTCTGAAGGGGTGTTCTGAAGATCAGAAGCGTTCTTGCACATAACAAGCTTAGCAAAATGACTAGTGCTTCATGAATGCTGAACAATTTTCTTTTTCTTTTCTTTTTTTTTTTTTTTTTTAAGAAAAGTGAAATCGGTCCAGCGTATCGAGGCTTCTGCTGGCTGACTATATGTTTGAAATCTGGATCTGCCTAACAGGGGTTCAATGGAGTTTGCAGTTGGGCTAACTGGGAAGAGAAATAATTTTGATCATTTGAAGAATGGAACTGAGGCCGGGCGCGGTGGCTCAAGCCTGTAATCCCAGCATTTTGGGAGGCCGAGGCGGGTGGATCACGAGGTCAAGAGATCGAGACCATCCTGGTCAACATGGTGAAACC